TATATATTTAAAAATAATTTTAAAAGCATTTTTGTAAGGAAATATTGTGGGGCTTTCACATTAAGGGGAGGGGGCAGAGCCCCGAATAGCCAGTTGTCAGAATTCCAAAGGTGCTCGATTCCTTGAAAAGCCTGGGGAGTGCACCGTCCTGAACGTCATTGACTTCAGCAGACTCAGAAGGGTGTAGCTCTCCTTAGAATGGCACCGTTAGGCAGTTCCCCCCAAGGCCACCCGGCAAATGGACGTCTGAGATGAGATTTGAAAACTGGGCTGTCTCAAACGCAGTTCATGCCCGGGCCGTAGCAACTCTCTCTATCCATAAAGCATTGAGTAGGCCGTGGAGATTGTGTTTGAGCTGAACGGGCCATATGTTCCACTGCAAGAGCTGAGTCAGTCAGGATTTGAATGTCCCCATACCCTTCCTGCGTTTTTACCTCCTTCAGCTTCCCGCTGGTGAAGGTCGGCGACAGGACGGTGCGAATCCTTTTCCACTGCTCGTCCTTCGCTATTGACACCGCTTGATTCAGCATTCCCACCAAGTCTACATTCTAGAGTGCAAAAAGGAAACCGTGTTAGCCATACCCGGTTATGCCGGTTTGTCTAGGATCTGAACTCATGACGGATCCCAGACTTGAGGCTTCAGAGCTGTCCCGCAGGGACCTGTGACACCAGTAAGCACTGGAGTAAATTGGTGATTGGATGACACATGCAAAAATATCCCTCCAGTTAAGTTAGAGGTTGGGTGCCTACCCGGCGATTGGTGAAGTTGGTGTAGCACTCTTTCACTAGTACGGCTTTGATGATGGTGGGATCCATTACGCCTAACACAGGTTGCCGGCCGTCATAAATTCTGCAATAAGAATAAGAATAAGAAAATAAGGTCAGGTTTGCAATAGCTTTACAGCAGGTTTTTAATATTGGCACTTGAACAGACTTCTTTCCTCCTCCATACTCTTCTACTTGATAAAGCAACCCTGACAGCTAAATATGCAAAAGGGAGGGGAAAAAGATGTAAAATACACCTAGAAGATATTCTAGCGCGTAGCCAAGCCCTCCGTAACCTGTGCGAAGATTTCGCCAGCCCTAAACCATGCTCACGTAGCAGGAGTGTACAAATTGGAAATGTAATTACCGCATAGGTCTGGAGACCTACCTAAGAGATCCATTTGCAAATAAAGCATTCTTTAAGAATGCAGGGTGGGTGAGTCATACGTTTAACTAACAGCAGCAACAACAATAATAGAACACTCCCTCCACGGGGTATTTTTTCTGAACGCTTGGACCACACTCAGAAATACAAGCTGGTATTTAAAAAAGGACTACTTACCCCCAGATGTTCCCGTATTTCTTGTGGCACATGGTATCAAACTGCACAAAACCCTGGAGAAGATGTGGAGGGAAAGAGTTACGCCACCGGAACAGACCGTCTAAACCAGCATTCTGTTTCGGACAGGGGAAAGCTCACGGGCAGGGCACGAATGTCTCAGATACTCACATGGCGGTAGTGCAAGGCAGTGCCAAAGAAAGGTACTGGGGTGGGGCCCGGAATTCCTAATCTCTTGAACACACGGAACGGCCATATTCCATATCTGTTTTCGAAGAATCAACACAGTATAAAGTTGAGATAGAACCGTCACGGGCAAAATATTTCTTTAGATACACTCTGCTTTTCTCCACGATATTTTATACATCGATTTACTTCATCTACACCCTCTCCATTTTGTTCTCACAACCACCCTGTGAGGTGGGCTAGGCCAGGGGAGAGAGTGACTAGCCTGAGGGTCACCCAGTCCATAGCAGAGTGGGGGCTTTGAACCTGGGTCTCCCACGTGCCAGTTTCAGCACTCTAACCACTGCATTGCACTGGCTCTCAGGAGACTACAAAAACTCGCTGGGAAGACTGGGGCTCAGGGCGCCATCAGTACAATTGCATAGAGTCACATCCAACTGAGGGGAAAAGGGGTGAACACTTTGTCTCTGTCAGGCGAGGAAAACACAGTTGAACTTGTGGCAAAGTTTTTGCCGGCTGCTGCTTCTATACGTAGTAAAATTCTGTGCGTGCTCAACGCAGGGGTATCTTTTAACAGAAATTGCATTTTATGAAGAGTTTGAATTTTATCCCTCAGATACTATCCCAGAAAATCTACAGCAACCTCAGACACTATGTTTTTTATCTTTGTGAAATGCCAATAAAGGAATTGCTGTGTGTGTCTCTGTCAGGCACACAATTTGGGGGAGAGCATTATTTAGGGCTGGTTTCCAGCTGGAGGACAAGGAGAAGAATTGGTTTTTATTCTCTGTTTGCCTCTACCCTAAGGAGACTCAGAGCGGCTCACAATCTCCTTCCCTTCCTCTCCCCACAACAGGCGCCTTGTGAAATTGGTGGGGCTGAGAGAGTCCTGAGAGAACTGTGACTGGTCCAAGGACACCCATATGAGAAGAGGAGGGGGGAGGAGGATGAGAAGAAGAAGAAGAAGAAGAAGAAGAAGAAGAAGAAGAAGAAGAAGAAGAAGAAGAAGAAGAATATGATTAATACTCTTCTCACTTGT